GACGGGGTGGAGTCGAGCGGGACTATCGCTCTTTACTTACGTTTGTGAGGCCTACTCCTGTCCTGGCTAGACCCCGCCGGCTGGGGCCGTTCTTCTGGTGTTCATCTTTCTTCGCCGGCTCCTTTATGTAAACCCCCTAGGATGTCGTGTGTCGATTGCAAAAAAAATATAAAATAGAAACGCAAAAGGACTTAAATGTAAACAATAATAGACAAAGATAACAAAAAAGCGAAATAACATACAAGACTAGGACAACATTTCTTAAACAACATTTTTTTTATGGTATACATAGATTGAAAAAATATATCAAGTTGATCCACATTCTCATTCTTTTGATAATATAATAATTGATACCAATCATCAAGAAAAGCAATCAAATCCTATTAGTAAATTTGTACAAGGTGTGAGTAATTGTAAAACAGCGTGAAATCTAGAATTAAGTCTAGGAACATGATACAAAATCTTTGATATTAATGAATTTGTGTTTAATTGAAAACATAATTCGCATAGCACAGAGACTATTCAAATTAAAACAAGAAAGCAATAATTGGAGGATAAATTCCATAACTAATAAAATGAATAGTCTTTAAATGTCTCCGTTATATTTTCTCTAATTATTGAATATTATAAACACTATAAATAGGACTCCAAACAATCCATGTATATTCTAATTTGCAGCGCAATTGATACATACAATATACAGGGTGATTCACAACTTATCCAAAAAAATTTGGGAATAGATGCGGCATAAGGAATGGAGTCAATATCGTAAAAAAATTGTTTGTAAAATCCTTACATATAGTTTCCGAGAAAAAAAAATTATTGAAGTTATAGTACATTCAACCACTACATAGCTGAACAACTGTAGTCTCTAGCGTCATTCGCAATACGATTGGAGAGCCACGTGGCCTCAGCGACTCCGAATACTAAAATCCATTTTGCAGTCGTCGTTGTGATACTGTTTACCTTCTATCTGTGGTGTTTACAATAGTTTTTTCGTAGTTAGTGTCAAAAATGGTTTGCGTGTATAGCAATTCGGAGTTGATGGATATCGTTTTAATTTATGGTGAAGCAAGACAACATTTGTATTATGGTCAAGCATTTGTGTTATGGTGAAGTAAGACAACATTTGTCATAAACATAAACTTAGTAAAACGGGCCCAAATGTGTTTACACGTTGGTGGATAAAATTTTGAACAATTGTTGTTGTAACATCGGGTATGTCAAATGATTTTATTATTTAAAAACACAAATTAATTTTATTAATTAATAAAGGCAAAAGCAGTTGAATTTCTCGATATAAAATAGGTGCTATAAAATTATATTTATTTCTTTCCTTGCTAAAGTTTTTGTTCGTTTTTATCACACCGCCATGCCAGTCGCATTATGCGAGGTCAAGTTTTACAGTGGACCAGTTTCCAGTGCCGTGCAGATGTGTATTTTTAAATCATTTTCGAACAGCCCTTTTTGATTTTTTCTTTACAAAATTGTATTTGTAAGAGTCCCTTGTATATCCAGAATTTTTTTTGGATAAGTTCTGAATCACCCTGTATTTAGAACCTTTACGTTCTGAAAGTCTCTAAAATTGCACAAAATAAAACCTAAATTTTTAAAATTAGACTTGGTTGCTGAACTAATACGTTCATCAAACGAAAATCTAGCATCAAAAATGTAACACCAAGATCAGTAAATTACGTAAGTCTGTTTAGAAAAGATTCATCAGTTTTATAATCAAAATCTAGAGTAGTTATACATCGACTGTAGGACATAATTAGAAATTTATTTTGTAACACAATTTTTAGTTAAAAGAATTAAAATATGATAGAATGAGAACATATTGTTTGAACTCAGTTGAGTTCAAAACAAAATTACGATATCAAATCAAATTTTGAGTAGGGAGCCAGCTAAAGAAGCAATTTTAAATTCTTATTGAAAGTTATGTTAAACACAAAGTAGACATTATTAAGATGCTTTTTATGTTTTACTGAAATCGGGCAATGAAAGTCTCCAATAAAAGCTTTTATAGTACAGGCTTTTATAAAAGCTAATTTGTTATACTGGAAATTATGTAAAAAAGTCACTTTTAACAAGATTGTAGAAAAAATATATCGAAAAATGAAATGTTACACTTTCCTGAATAAAATTGGTACCCACGAGACAGAGCGCTCCAAATGTCATAAAAAATATACTGAAAATAATATCTGGGGTGAATATTTCATTTGGTGGGTATCATTTCCCAGCTCTTAGTACTTTGCAACTCATTATAAATATCATGATAGTGTATCTCGATTGTTATTAAAAATAAAAAGCGCGGTTTTCGCTAATGTTAGTCACTTTTTGCATTTTTGATTACTTCAATTGGACATTTTAACGCTATCTTCTTCGGTGTCTTCCTAATTCGGCCATAAAATAAAACTGACAAACAAATGCTATTTATACTCCAATACACGATTTCAGTAACTACAGTTAGAAACACTTAACTAAGGAAAGAATATATTTTTTTTATATTGTAAATATAGATATATTTCATTTAATTGTTAATCTTTTTACACATATTTTTCTTCGCAAAAATTAATTTTATACACGAAATATTAAACAAACACGTAAAGAGTCCTTTTTATTTCAAGTTGAACACTTATATTGCACAATTTCTGTTCAAAAAATATTTTTTTGCGCGTTTGTACAAGAATTCTTACGGTATGTAAAAAAAAATTACTGGAAAAGGTTAAAGTTATTTTATCTTTAACCACTTCTATGTAAAATGTTCATTATGAGTAAGATAAAATCTGATTCATGCGTTTATTCGGAGTGGCAGGAATTCGAGGGTCAGTTTTGGGATCTGGGAAACGATGAAATAGAAAGATAGTTGTTAATTTAGGAAAATGCCCCGGAATTTGGCGGTCATCAAAATTCCGGTACGGGTCGGTTTGCCCGTTAAATTTTAACGTTCTGTTGTATTACCTAATTTAACCGTAAACTTTGCAATATTTGCGCATTATCAGCATTAGTATGTATAATATATTAATTTTGGCGTATAAAATATAATATGATGAATTCAATTTGTCAGAACAGATCTGGCAAAGATATAATAAACTGTGGCACTGAATGTTTAACTGTTTGTTCTATATTTATCAAAAAAATAGTGTAATAAAATTTTGACTATAAAGTAAACTATTGTATCCAAACAAATGAAGACAAAAACACTTAATAAAATTACATAAATATTAAAGTTTGAGGTTAGAACCAACAAGATTCTGTCAAAAGTTTGAGCATATCGTCATTAAAAGTCACTAACATTTAAAATTTGTTTTATTTTCATTACATCTTATTGACATTAAATATTTATTTATTTATTTTCCAAGAGACTAAATATTTAACTATTAAGTATGGCAATGCCCGAAATATTTTTTTTTGGTATTATGTTTTTGTAATTAGAATTTTGTCATAAATTATTTTAGAAAAATTAAAGAAGGGAAAAGCAAAACTGAAGTTCAATTTGTTAACTTTTACGACATTCAGTCATGTTGTTGCTAAAAAATACTTCAAAAAACGTTGTAAACGTTGCAAAGCTAGAAGAGACTTAAAAATTACAAATACAATGCTAAATAAGTTTTTAATAAAATCTTAACTAACATTGTAGCAAATGTAAAGAAAAGTTGTAGCAAGCTTATCGATAAGTTTGTAACAAACTTGCCAGATTAATGTTTCCTCGCAAAGATGTTGGGTGGCCGTTTCAACTTTGTTACAAATGTCTTGCAAACCTATCATAAAGACTTTTATAACTTTACAGTTTTATTTTTAAACTATTGGCAAGGATGCAGCAATTTTACTTTGCTTAGTAGTTGTCCTTTTTGATGATCCAAGTAAGACACTTTTTTCCACACTCAGGTAGTTTGACACCTTTACTGAATCTGTAGACATTTGTAAGTGACGTTTACAAATTAGTGATCGGTAAGTAATCTAATAAATGTAGAATTTAAAAAATTTTTATTAAAGACAAAATAAAATTACATTTTGAACAATTGTTCAAAACGAAGTATTTCCTCATCGATACACTTTTGACATCTTCTATTCTATTTATAGAGGAACTTATCATGACATGATTTCCCTGAGGAGATTACAATTTTCCTGTAGTCTTTGCCACAATTGGTCTCATGTTCATAAGCCAACAAGGACTGCAGCTTCAGAAATAAATACACAAAGCTAGTTATAATACTAAAATGAGATCATCGTAAAACTTACTAACTGATAATGCAGACAACAGATTCAATTTTTGCTGGTGGATTTTAAATAAATATGAGCAGGTCGACTAAATTTGCGTATTATAGTCGCCAAATAAGTAAATTATCTTCCAAATCGCTGCTACTATAAAAAAATACCAAAAATCACTTTTTATTTATTTCATTACGTTAGTAACACTACCAGATTTTAATATAATTTCTACAAAAAACTGCCAGTGGCGTATTTTTCTTGGGAAAACGGAGCTGCATCTTCAGTAGCAGCTGGTTAATGTCACGAGGTTAATATCACATTCAATAAATGGTCTAATTAAGTGAATACGCTGTAATAAACTTCAATCAAATCGTTCGGCGTAATATGAAGATATGACCGAAAATTTATATTTTTTTTTTTTGGAAACTTGAACACCCTGTATCTCGAATATCACGTCCCCTAGGAAAAAAGTTTATAGAGCAAATTCTACTTATTTTTTGGCAACTAATCTATTCCAGCAGTTTCTGTATTTAAAGTAAAATCACCCTGTATAAACGTAGATAACACTATAAAAATTAAAAAAATCATTAATTTATTATTATTTACTTATGATTCTGATGCAGTATCATTACTGAACCATAATAAATAGAAAAAAATACGCAACACTGTTAAATACTCATCCTTTTGAAAAAAAAATTGTAAAAAGATGAAAAACGACCCTATTACATGATCCCACCTTGAGATTTTTTTTTTAGGCAACACGTTAATGAAGTATCTCCTTATTTCAGCGCTGCCGTCCATGAGAGATAGCCTCACCAACCCGGTGCACGTGTACGAAGGGGACGACGCCCTGATAACATGCGTCGTCAAGGACATCGGTCCGAACACGGTGATGTGGAAGAAGGAAGAAAGGGAGAGACACAGCACCCTGGTTCTCACAGCCGGTGAGAACCGGGTCACGGCCGATAAGAGGTTTGGCGTCCTGCATGATTCAGGTAAGTTTTCAGTAAAATGTTCCTAAACGATTTAATAAAAATTCTGAAAAAATTTTGGCCAGTTTTAAGTCGGGAAATACTCTCAGCAGTATAAAATTTAATGTCAGTTTAGAAGACGAAAACAGATTGATTTTCAAAACCTCAACAACTTTTTGCAGTGGCGACGTTTCGGTTGCGAGAAGCCATCATCAACTTATTTTTTTTATGGGCGTCATATTGAATTTTAGGCTGAGCAAATAGAGAATTTTTTTGGCTTTTCATTTATATAAGTAAGAAAAAATTCAACAATCAACCTCAAAATATTTTAATATTTTTAATAAATCTGGCAGCACCGCATATTTCGAAACTTTTATAGAATAATCTCAAATTTTTGTAAAAGCTTATCATTAATGTCACGGCATTACATTGAGTGAAAAAATGACAGTAATACCCACGTATTTTCGAAGAAAAACTCCATGACGATAACATTATTATTTATTTCAAGCTGCTTGTCATTTTGAACTATTGTTAATCATACCTGTAGAGTCTATACTGTATTGCAGCAACAATAATATACAAAACAATTCCGGACTATTTTTATTTTAAAGAAAATCTCAAACGAAACTTACTTTCCTTTGAGTTATACATGAAAGAAAAGAGAAAAATGCGCCTTTTTTAATTTTTTTCATATTTTGTTGCGCTAACAATTATGCACAACGTTTTCAGCGGGCACATATCGCAATTATCATTCTACATAATATTTAGAACTGTTTCCAACAAAAATTAGCGTTACTATATGAAACATCCATACAACCTACTTTTAAAATAGATACCGACTGGGCTAATAATAAGAGTTAATTGGTAACAGTTAGAGTGACACTTGTTTAAAATCGTCAAAATGGCTTTGCGTTATTCCAATGAAGAAAACTGTGATATGTTCATGTCAAAGTCAAAAATATTTATTGTGCATAGTTACAATAGCAATATACAAACCTATGCACAAAAGGACTAGATACAGATAACTGATGATTAGCCTACCCCTCAGAAAGTCAATTAACTCACACATAATAACAAGTGTACATATTAAAAGTAATATAATTATAAAGAGCTATTAAAACGATATAAAAAACAATATAACTTATAAATATGTATACACAACACTCATGCATGTCTATGTAAATACACATATAAATACATAGTATACTCAGACACACACACACACACACACGCATATTATAATTATTATATTACAATGCAATTAAAAAACTAAAAAACTAGAAAACAGTAGCATTTGTGGAGTTATCGTTTTCCATGACTAACTCAGGAATGTGTTACGAGTGTTAAGTCCTGGGACACCAGTACATTATTTAATACCGTAGCTGCTAAATAAGTGAGTGAACATCTGAAATACTCAGTTCGATGACGCATTATTTGCAAATCATGTAAATTACGAAGCTGACGATCATGTACATCATGCCGCCAAAAAAACTTCTCATAAAGATAGTCAGGAGTTGTATTGCACAGTATATTATTTACAAAAACACAAAAATGAACTTTCTTTCACTGAGTCTTAATTTATCAAACTGTCTAATAAAAGGAGTGACATGGTGAAGAAAAGTATATGTGATAAAACCCATGCACCAATTTTTAATTTTTTGCAGCATTTGTAAGTAAAGGACCATAAACATAATCACAATAATTTAGATGAGACAAAACTAAGGAATCAACCAATATTAATTTAATATCAGAGCTCAAATAACGTTTTAAGGGCGCTATTTGCTTAAAGTAGATGAATGCCTTCTTACATAACTCACTCATATGTTGTGAGAATATCAGGTCATTTTCAAATACGAAGCCCAGATTCTTTACTGAACTACAGTTTTCCTTTTTCAGACTTTAAAAATACCTCTAAATAGAAAAGTTACAAACGGTTTTCGAAAACGTCACATTTACTTTTTTTCAAATTAATGAGGGTTACTTTCGCTGTACAGCAAAAATAAAACGCTCTCTCAACGGTACAAATAAAGTATTTTTATTGAAAACTAAGCATGTGAAAAAAGACGTGTTGTCGGTTCGAGCGTTTGCGGGAGAGTCCCTCTCGGTGTGGAGTCGCTCGCAGAAGTACCTGGTCGTTGGCGCCAATCTGCCGGGGTCGTCTTCCGGGAACCCTGGTACGTCCGGGCGGCGTCAGGCTGGTCCTTTTGATGCAATACTCAAAGTGGGTCACTTGCGAACATGTATACCCACATTAACTCAAAAACCTGAGGAGCTAGGACCGGTCTGCAAGCGCCATTAAGTTAGCAAAGAACTCTCTGAAACTTTCCCCATTTAACTATCTCTTGTAGTTTCCAAAACACCAATACATGCATCACCAAAATGGTCCACACTGTATAATGGCGTATATTTTGTGTTTGTCTACTTTTTCTGTGTGAGATTTTTCGTTAAACAAAACTATCGTCATAAAAATAACTCGTCACGGTAGCTTCCGACATAACTGCACGCACTGAAAATATTCTTAACGTATTTTGTCCTACACATATTCTTTTAATCTTATATCATGGAAACCGAGGTAGCTACGTCTTGACTACAGCGTTGACAAGGCCTTTTTAAGTATTTTCTCCTCCGTGTTTGCAGGATTTCGAACAAAAACCCCTCCTCAATAGGGCGCAAACGTTTTCCAAACTGAAAGGACGCCTTCTGTTGATCAACAGAGGCTTTGAGCCAATGCATTTCTGGTATTAATCAGCTTACTTGCGCGTGACAAAAAAATACCACTTAACGACGTAAAATATTCCCGGGGATTTGCGTTCTCCGTCCCTTAAAAGCAAATAAACAACTTCTTCCGAGCTCGTGTAAATACAAGCCTGATCCAATAACGAATGCAGCCGTTGAAATGAGGGGAAGGCTCAGAAATTGTGTTTACAATTGCGAATATATCATCTTGCGTGGTAACGCCGCGAAAGCCCGGGTTTACCGGTTAATTTTCATAAACCTTTCACAACGGAGGGGGAATTCGGAGAGCGCCCCTCGCGGTCCAATAGTAATACGCAGGGGGGGTTTAATGAAACTCTGAACGGGGCGCTTATAGAAAACATGCAAATCTTGTTATGAAAATGCCTTGATTACACTTACATTAATCATATTTGTTGGATATTAGATAGCGTGCGCTGGCTGCCAGTCATCGGCTATCGTTTCTTGAATTTCGAGATACATCGCCAGAACAAAAATACTGGTGTTTCTGAAATGTCACTACTAGCATATTTCAAGGAGAAGTCAATAACATTAACGTCACCCGCGAGTTTGTGGAGTGAATACTCAATGATTACGTCAACAATTTTTATAGAGGAGAACGTGGATATATCAAAATACCCCAAGCTGAGAGCATTTTTGAAACGTAAGAATAACGGCTATACACCTATTAAGATTAGATTGGAAATTAAAAGTTTCACGCTTTTTTATGCGCTATCAAGCAGGTAGATGTTGCAACCAACCAGTCAGCAAGAATACCCTTTCTATAATTCCTAATAAGATCGCACAGTTCTTGAAACTAGAACATCCTGAAACATATACAGGCCATTCTTTCCGAAGAACATCGGCAACGTTACTGGCTAATACAAGAGTTGATGTATTATCAGTCAAGAGAAATGGTGGGCGGAAATCAGCCACAATTGCAGAAAGTTAAGTTGCTGACAGTTTAAGTAACAAAAATGAAATAGCCAACATAATTCTTTGTAATGAGACTTCAACTCCAGGTTTTAGTAGTACGTCGCATTATGCTGTTTTAATGGATCAGTCAGATAATATTGAGCCTCCGCGTTGATTGAAATGTTGCGATCAAATCATTTTGAGAAAAATGTGACAATTAGCAAACGCGAGGAGAATAATTATCCAGATTTTATAAATGTTACTAAATGTTATAACTGTACAATATATACTATAAATATTCATTCATAATAAAATTAATGAAAGGTAATGTTCAATTTATTTGTTCGTAAAATCATTTTCAATCATCAATTCATTTATAACTCGAAACCGCTTTTTTCCCTAGAGAGGTAAATTGTCTCAGTAACCTTATGTTGTCCATAGAACTTCCACTTCTACTATAAAATCCACTTACCTCCTTAAAAACAATGTTTTAATAGTCTAATTACTATAGTGGGAGCACATAAAGATTTTAAAAAAAATATGTATGAAGCCCAATAATAGTGGAATAAGCACATTTTGGAAGACAAGGACGAGAACGTAGTGGAGTTATGGAAATCTAGTCACAAAAATTCTTGATTACACTTATATGAATCATATTTGTTGTATATTAGATCACAGACAGGTGCGACATTGTAGGTTCTTGGCTTTTTGGCTTTTTGGCATTTTGGCTTTTTGGCTTTTCGAAACACAGATGACCCTTTTCTTCGGAAGAATCTCTGAAGCACACCAAAATATTCAGTTTTAAAGTTCATCGTCAGTGAGATCATGTTAAAAAAAGTTATGTATTATTATTATCCTCTTCTCGCGTAAGTAGTTGCTATCTGAGCGTGGATCTAGAGGAATTGTGGGTCCTTCTAACATGTTACTATACTTGAGGGTGTTTTGAGCTATCTGGAATTTGGACCTTGGTATTTAAAGAAAAAGACGCTTTGTTTTGTACTTGACATTTTTTGTATTCTTTCGCTGACCATTCCTTGTGTTCAGGCTATTAAGCTCTTGTATATTGGCAACAGGATTTTAATGAAGCCTGGGCGATTTGAGCGATATGATCTGACTCTGTGCAAATATTATTGAATATAAAAAGTTATATATATTATTAATATATAATATTGGTCTTGTTGCATGATAACTGTATAAAATGGAACGATAATGTTTTCGAATAATCAGGGTCGACGTTCAATCGCACTTCTTGATGGCTCCGCTAGATTCCCGTAGTGGATTTTGAGCGCTCTTGGAAGGGAGAGAAGTCTGCATTGCGTGGGACGATCTTGAGGTAACTCGACTTTTGGTTTCAGTTATCTGCTCTGTTGGATGGT